GGGGGGCAATGTTCCAAAAGCTTTGAAGTGATCTGCTGGGACACTTTTAATGTCTGCATTGATGATTCCTTCTCAATGGGAGCATGAAACATGCGATGGACGTATCTTGATTATCTAGAGACAATGAGTCGAAGTGAGATAAACAGCAGCGATGGCAGAAGCGAGGCTCTGAAGCCCACGGTGGGCGGGGCCTATGCCATCAGTCTGCTCCAGCCCACTTCCTATTGGACTCTGCTGTGTCTGACGTTCAGTAATTAACCCTCCCCCTCCTCCCAGCAATGGACTGCAAACCGCATACTCGCATGCACATACTAACATCACGGCCGTGACACACGGAAGAAACACGACAGCTTGGGGCAAAATAACAAGGCAGGGAATCTTCGTCAGTTTTGCCCCTCAGTAGTAAACATGTTTGGTTAAGCCTGTCGACTTGTGATGGCCACGGGCTGCCTGTGGGTGACGTTCATTTCCAGTAATTAACAAGCTCAAAAATGTAGACGATCTTGCTTCGTTTGTTCATTCATTCTTCAATTCAGACAGACATTTTACATTCTGGTTAAATTTAGCAGAAAAAATAATAGTACAATTACCACTTAGAAATGCCGTAGGATCTCTTCTTTGGGACGTGGAGTGAGATCTCCACACCCACGTCACGTGAGGATCTTCTGGTCAGGGCCATGCAGGGGCTGCCTGCTGAGTGTCCCGTTCCCATGATCCTCGTTGCCCCCGCCGGCACAACCCATGTAACCCGACCCCCTCCCTTTCAAAGAAGTCAGCGGCGTGCGGAGCCCTGCGTTTTGTGACGTCCCCCAGCCATCGCTCCAGTGCGTGGAAAGAAGCGCCACGTCACCTAGGGGTCCCCTCACCATGTAGGCCGCCCGTCTCTGCCCCACGGTCACCCCGTACAAGGCAGCGCCCTTGTCCCATAATCCCATGGGTCTCCTGTTTATCTCGCCTGCGAAGCGTAACACGACCGGGCCGGCCGCCTCAGAGCGCCTAACTTGAACGGCAGCCAAAGCTCTCTCTCTCCCCGGCTGCTGTGATGGTGCACATGGATATCACAAAGCAGCCCTGAAAGTCAGTAATAATGCGACACAGCTTTGTTCTCTGCCTTTCATTGAGCCTGACAAACACTTCCCAGCTCGCCTGTGGCCTTATCTGCAGAAATGACAAAAGTTGCCTCCCCGAATCTGATATCCTGGCTAACAATACGGAAATACTCCATCCCATAGAGACTAATTGGTGGCATTAACCTTTTAGATTATCCTGAAAAGAATATTTAAAACCTTTTTAAGCATATTTGGAACGCTTTTTGATGGGATGAAATTTGAGTACAAGAGGTGATAAGGCACTTTGGGCTTCGCGTTTGGCCTGAGGATTTTGCAGGTTTTCGGAACGAGAGGCTGTTTGATCATGTGACACCAGGTGCCTCAGAATCAGGCGACACGGAAACCCAACTTGGGCCAGAGGACCGCTGGAAGGTTCACTCGTTCCTAAATGGAAGACAGACTCCCCTCTGTGGGTCTCCTCCGGCTGCCCCCATCGACCGAACACCGACTTGGTCACGGTGCCACCTGCTGGCCGAGCCAGAGCCTCTCGTCCGGCCTGTGTGAGGCCCGGGATCCTGCAAACTCCTCACACAGCAAGTGGCAGCCCTGTAGGTGCGGAGTGCTTCATACACACATTACAGGATATAAATACTAACATTAAGGACAGCCAGCGGGAGTTCCACCACAAAAACAATTATGAATGAGGCGACAGCACCAGTATGAATGCATATACAGCTCAGTCGGCCGTTTGGAGAAAATCACAGCTAATCCAGCAGCTAAAGGGGAAAAATGCAAAAGCTCACCGTCCACCGTAGCAGGGAATGCACTGGGGCAGTGTTCCTCTTTGCTGGGAAAATATATCATTACAGACTGGCGCAAATAAATCAGGACTTTGCTCGTCTGACTCTCCCTGGCGCCCCCTGGAGGACGGGCTTCCCCTCTGAATCTGCTTCCTCCCCAGGTTTCTTCCTTCTAGGGAGTTTTTCCTTGCCACTGTCGCCTCTGGCTTGCTCACCGGGGGCTTTGGGCAGGGATAATGCAAAGCGCTTTGTGACAAGGTAATGTGAAAATTCACTACACAAAACTGAATTGAAATGAACTGAACATCTTTTAGAGATTTAGCTCATTGATAACTACCTGTTTGAACTGGGCAGCCATACCTATATAAACACATTTGAATAGCTGCTGTTGCTCAACAAGAAGAGTATTGTGTTAAAAATGTCAAGGGTGAGGGTTCAAATGCCGGGGAGGGGCACATACACCTTCTCTGTACTGTCAGTTCAGATAAAGGTAAATATGCACTTACTGTATAGATCATTATGTGTATATGACGTAAAGAGGATGAAAAGGAGAAGGTAAAAAATGCATTTGGGTTTTTAGTTTGACAGCCACGGGACCTGGGTGTGACGTGTTGTGATAGCAGGGAATCTCGCTTCGCTGGCCCACACGCCCAGGCGGGGGCCCCCCCCCCGCAACTCTGCTCATTTTTCACCCCCACTGCATTAAGTATAGTTATTGATTCCTTGTAAATGGGGCCAGAATGGATGAGCTGCACCATTTCTGTTATTGGTCTGAGGGTCATTTATTGGAGGTACGGCGAGCCAGGAGCCCGGGGGCCCCATCCGGGGGGGCTGCTGCTGGCGGGGAATGCCAGTCTCAGCCTTTGCATGGGTATTGGGGTCCCCCTACCAGCCTACCAGTTACCCCCTTGCTACCCCCCCAAAAAAAATCGCCTTAACAGAGACATTCTTCCTTCTGTTGCCACAGCGTCTTCAGCTGTGCTGGGTCACATGACACGCGGTGTCAAGACTTCCACCATCATAAAAAACCAGTGAATGTCAGGCACACACACACACACACACAGAGGTATGTAATTATATCTTTGTGGGGACTCTCCATTCATTCCTATGCTGAAATCTCTAATCCCAACATGGCGACCTTAACCCCTTCCCAGCCCTAAACTTAACCGTAAGTAAGCAAACAAAATACAAGACTTTTAGCATTTTTACTTTTTTGATTGCGATCACAGATCTTTGTGGGCACTTGAAAAATGGTCCCCACAGTGTCAAAATAACAGGTTTTTATCACATTGTGGGGGACATTTGGTCCCCACAAAATAATATAAACATAATCCACACACACACACACACACACACACTCCTGGACACACAGAACCTACAAGGAAGCAATTTTTCAATTTTTTTTTTGTCTCCCAGAACACAGCATCACATCCAAACATGCAGACGGACACACAGAGAACATCCATCACCGCCCCCCCCCCTCACCTGCGGGGTGTAGCCCAGCATCTCCCACAGTGACAGGGAGGCCAGGATGCCGGGTCCGGAGAACTCCACCTCCTCCGTCTCCGGCCGGAGCACAGCCAGGTGCTTGCATCCCCGGTAGTCGCCCTGCAGCTGACTGCCGTCCCGCAGTCGGACCTGGTCCCAGGTTCCCGTCCGGCTGAGAACCTCCCTGGCGTCCCGCAGCTGCCCGTACGACAGATGCCCTGCACCAGAGACACCGCCCACCTGCCCTCTTACTTCCGTTTAGTGGACGCGTTCGTCCAAACTGACTTACAACTGCAAACATACTATTTAGTCGGATGTCTATACAATTTTACAGCAGATATCCCAATAATATTATCCCAAAGGGCACCAAACTGTACCTTAAATGTATGGTTCAATTCCTTATTCACCTGTAATGGCTTAAAATACATTATAAGTAAATGTCCAGACCAGTAAAATAAAGGTTCTGAAAATAGACTAATAGCCCAAAATCGGATTTTTCCATGTCTCAGAACAAAGCATTAGTACATTGCTGGTGGGAATCATTAATGTAATTCCATTAATTAACAACGGGCAGTGTGGCAATTTCAAAACTTGAAATATGAGGGTTTTCGGTTCGCATCCCACTGCACATTGGCAATTAATGCCTTTCACCTGTGGATTAATGTTATTTGACTGTGTTGTTGACTTTCCCTTATATTACATCATCTCTGGTACGTAAGGCAGAAGATAGCATGACAATTTTGGCACATCTCGACCGTTCTGTACCATTCAATGCTTTCTTATAAACTTCAGGTGGCATTTCTGCCTGTAAAGGTGTAAGACCGAGGCCTTAGTAGGAAGCTGGGCCTCCGGCTCCCTCAGGATCAGTGTCAGCGAGGGTGAAATGAGCCTTTGAAGCCCAAGGTGGATGGATGGTTTGGATATGAGCTGCCAATCACGGTCAGGGAACAACTACTTGAAAATGGTGTTATTGTTCATCACTAAGCATCTCCAAGCCTCTGAGAGTGACCTGTGGTGGGTTTGTGGTTTCTGGGCCCCTCCTCTTAGCGTACTGGCAGTTTTTGGCCAACAGGGAGCCCCCAAACCTCAGGGGCCACACTGAGCAAATGTGTGGTTTGAGTGGCGATAAACGGCAACTCTGAGTGTGTCACTCACCCAAAATCCAGCAGGGCATGAAGGCATCCACAGCCCACGTCATGAAGTCGTCACTGAAGGAGCGCAGGAAGGCGTCCAGCTTGGCGTAGGTCACCACCTCCTTCCTGATCTGCAGCTGGGGGCTCAGTAGGCAGTCGGGGGACAGCAGGAGCACCCTGGGTAGGAGGTGGGAGGGGTCCAAGGACACGTCACCACGTTTCAGGTGGCTCCGCAGGTTGGTGGCCTTAGCCTGGGGAAGCAGATGGAAAGGGGCTTGTTTGTCACGTAACCGGTCTGTACACTCAGCACATCGGCCCGCGGTCGGCGCTCAGTCTGACGCTTCTCTGCCTGATTTAGGATTCCTGCCCCGTTAAGTTGGATTGCTGTTAGCCCTGTTTCACCACCCGATTTGACAGCTGTACAGCCAATTCCCTCCATGTCAATATTTAAGGCGATTTATAAGGAACTAAGGGTCTAAGCACAGTCCCTGGAGGTCGGAGCACTCTACCCCCATCAGAGAAATTGCACAGTTACCCTTCAAATCCAGTTTCTTTTTTAAATCAAATTTTCAACCCGTCGCACACAAACCTCAGAAAACCCATTAATTTAAGTCGAAATGCTATGGAGTTACGGCGCTTTATGAACTGTATTCTGGAAGGCCGGCTTTATAATACGATACGAGCCCATTTCATCCACACGATCTGGCAGAAAATTCCCCCCCCCACCGAAAAATCCATCTTAATATGCCCCAATAAAATCACTGCTCCATTTCCTCCCTAATAACCCTACAGAAGGTACATGTAGAACCTTGTTCCCTTCAGCTTCTCTATCACTGTGGTCCATAACACCACAGCCCTTCCGCTCATTCAACCTTTACCTCGTTTTCACCTGTTATCTCCATGACCGGCTACACTTTATGTTCCCATGTGATTTACTCAATGTTCATTTTTTGAGAACTTCTTGAGAAATTCTGTTCCATTAATTTTTTACTGAATCCATAGATCTAGGCTTGTCATATTACACCGGAGCCCTTATTTACCTCCTGTACACCTTCTGTGTTGTGTGTTGAAACCCCATTCCTGAAGGTGACCTAACTGGCACCTCAGGATACAGAGAGGCCTTTGATGTAGGCGTTGTCTACCTATAAAAAGAGCCTTTCTGACTTCAGTGACCGTGTGAGTTGGCTAACCTAGTAATCCCACTACTCACCACTTTGTGCATTCATTTTGCCAACCTTGACCTTCGACCTTGACCCGCTATCCAGCTCTACCAGCTTTACACTTGCCCAGAGTACCAGTGTCTCTCGAGATCGAGTGCCGACTGTCTAACATGCTTGTTTCCTTTCTGTCAGGAACTCCAGACACCAAGGTGAAATTAAGGTGTTATTAAATGAGCTAAAGCTTATACAAAAATCAGACTACTTCAACCATGGTGAATTGCCACTCCACGCGGTGGGGCTGCTACTGAGCTGCTGCCCAACTGGGCTTCCCGGAGACACCCTCTCCATGCATAACCATTCACGTTCCTCCTGCTATACGGTATGCAAATCCAGATTTGGCCTCAACAGTCCCCCATGGAGAGGCATCAATGTCACGAATGGCACTGATTGGCCACTCCCCCCCTCCGCACGTGAAATATCATTGGTCATTTCTGGACCAGCTGGCAGAGAGTTGCTTTACCATAATATCCTGGATGGGGTCTGCAAAGTGACGCACGGAAGTGTCCTCCTCTTTCAGTTTAACATGCCACTTTTTGTTGTGCTGGGTCACTTCCCCTTTCCAGTCCTTCACGTCGATGCAGAAGACCCCACGACCTGTAGAAAAAACATCAATCCCAGAAGCAGCCCCAAGGTACGAGGCCGCAAAATGCACACTAACGTCACTCACGATTTGTTTGTGGTACTTAAGCTCGAAAACACATAAAAAAAACACCATAGAGACAGAAGATGCTTGGCTGGAAGGCGATTTCATTGCACTATGACACCCACTTAGGAAAGGAAAAAAATCATGAGGACGAACTGATCTTTGGGACAAACTAGGCATAACTTATAAACTCAGTTGAAAAGAGGAATCTTCCCTTAGTGACGGGTTTGATGGCCAGTCGAAGGCTTTCATCTACAGGTCATTTAACAACGTTATTAAAGATCTGAAGCTGCGGTCTGGTCTATAGCCCAGTTGCATCTGGCTTGTGTCGTGTTTGAACGCTGTAAGAGAAAGTCTCACCTCTCATTCAGCCTGAAGCTGTCAGTATGTGTTAACATGCACTATGCCTATGGCAATGCAATTAGACATATGCTTTTTAAATTAGCTGCTGATCTGTAAATCATATGCAGGGTTTACGCTGCAGGGACCAGTTCAAATAATGACAACAGGTAGCACTTTACTTGAACTGCACATTCATAATGCATTCATAGGACATTCATAAGCAGCATGTACATATACCGTAACATCCTAATCAGCTTAACAGATCATGATTATACGACTAATGTTTGTTGTTATCATATACTGTTTGTTATTAATGCATATTAAATCTGTTAAGGTATATTAGGATGTTAAGGTATACTTACATCCTGCTTATGAATGTTCTATGAATGCATTATAATTATGAGAGGGCATGACCATAGTCAAGGAAATATAGTGTTTCCTGACAACAATCACTGCAGCAACAGCAGAATCACTTCAATAAACAGGCATGTATCTTTACCAAAAACTTTTCAAATGAACGTACCGGTGAGAATGACCAAGCTGATTTCATCTTTGCCGGACTGAAACTGATTAGGAATCCTCAGATTGCAGAACACGTCCTCGCTTCTGAGTCCGCCAATGTTCCTGTGTTTTAAACAAACTCAGTAGTACATAATAAAAATGACATGTTTTTCATACACATTTAAACCCAAAGTCCCTGTTCATTATATGTAATTGTTTTCAAAATTATGATTATGAACTGTTGATTGCAGCTTTTATATTCACAATAACTCTGACAAGTAGGCCTAATATTTCCACTCCGGTGTGTAATGCAAATTACTGTTTCTGACACAACAAAAAAGTAGTAATGTTCATCAGATAATATAAAACCATTTTAACTGTGCCCCAAAACGAAAATCTGTCCAATACCTTATTTTTACAAGAAGGTCATTAAAACCAATTGCAAGATGCGCTGGACTTTGGGTTGATGACTCAACTGATGGTTCTGTTGACATTTGGCTTGATGGTTCAGTTGATGGTTTTGTTAGTGGTTGGGTTGATGGTTGGGTTGATGGTTGGGTTGATGGTTTTGTTAGTGGTTGGGTTGATGGTTTTGTTAGTGGTTGGGTTGATGGTTCGGTTGACAGCTTCATTAGTGGCTAGTGCATACTGTCTTCTGTGCTGCTCTGCCAACTGGGATTGGAAGCTACCTGAAAATTGACAGATTGATCTCCAAGCTGGAACCTTTTAGTGACTTTTATCTGAAACGATATAGAGTGAAACAGAAGTGGAAGGAGAGCTAAATATATAAATGATTCGAAACAGGAGGACTTTATACAGATAACAAGACATTCAACAACTAAACAAACTGATACTTTGATCTGACATAAACAAGACATTAAAATAACATGGAAAAGCTTTTTGAAAAGCAGGCTTAGAAATGTACAGCACAAGAATATTTATAATACCACTTAAAAGTATATAGAAGTATACATACAGCGCAAAAGCAGGCAGTTAGGCTAAAAGGTATATGTCCTGTGACGGACTAGCATCCCATCTACAGTGGAGCCCTGTCTCCTTATTGCCTGGGATAAACTCCGCGTCCATCCAGCATTAGCCGCCGGAATATGATTATTAATATGTTTATACGCACGAACAGCTCTGACAGCACCAACGACCACATCGGGCTATCACATTTACGTAAGAACGTTTAATGAAAACTTCACTACAGTTCAAGAATTCCCACGTTTACTTAATAACCGACGATCAGCAGATTTAACATCATTAACTACAATTCGAACGCTATACGAATATATATGAACATTTAAATATAAATGCACTAACCTGTTATGTGGGCGAAAACGTGCAGAAATGACGACTACGATCAGTCATCGGTCATTTTCAGGCGTCAGAGACGATCACACTGCGCGTTGTTTCACAATCGCAGGGTTTTTTTTTCCCGGAGCTACTTGAGGTTGCCTGGAAGAAGTAAACAAGGAACCACGTGCGGCGTCCGCCTCCCCAGCAGGATCCCCGGCCGCCCGAGCGCCGCTGCCGCTGGTTATTACGCTAGCAGGTGTCTCTGCCTCGTTGCGCAATGCTTTCCTAAATAGCAATATGAAGCTTTTTACTGCGTGATTCACAGCAGCTGATCTGATACTGCTCTGTTGGTTCAGTTATGAAATCATAAGGTCATATTCTGAATTTATATTTTTATTTGGCTGGGACATTAAATCTTCAAACTCGAATCCAAAATATGTGTGTACTACATAAAGGACGTTAACATAAACCTGCATTTTCATTCTGCAGGTATTCATTCAGCAAACGCCTTTGCCCAAAGCTATCTTACACGTCAAAGGAGAAGAGAATAGATGGCCAAACCTTATTTACTGAGAGGCAATATTAGAAATATATCCTTGACATTACTAGCAATTCACATAACTTTTTTTTTTCTTTTTCGAAGGTATAAGCTTACTGTATGTGCTTCAACGCTACAAAAATCCTCCCACGTTCCTACGAAGAACTGCTGTTTCGTTAGTATTTATTCACTGCAATGGGCTAAATGTTTTGAAAAAGCGTAACTCACCTGGACAGCTGTCAGTTCTAGCGGAATAAATAATTAACACTGTGGTGGGTAAGTGTAGCCGCTGTTAATACCAGCGATATTGCATCGCATTTCTGTGATGGATGGATGAATGTTTATAATTCCACACACAGAGCTGTCAGCTCCCTGTCCCATTTGCATGGATGTATTGGGATGCCCGGACTCTAAGCGGGTAGCGGGGTGACTAATGGGCTTTCCACGCGGTGCAGCCCCGGCTTCGTAAATGTTTGATTCCATCCGGAGAGATTAAGGTTAGATTACCTATTTCAAGGGATAACACAACCTCTCCTTGTTTCTGAGTGGGTTTCGTGAGGTGGGGCAGGGAGGGGGGTCAGATTTAGGCGCTGCTTGGGAAACGATGCAGCATAATTGCTAGAAAGGACCACGTGGCGGCAGGTCCGGCTTTTCCGGTGAGTCACCCGATCGCATTCCGTCGCAGTGAAGGCACACACACCTCGGGGAGGGTTGGCATGTTCTCGCCCTCCCCTTCTTGCGCTCACTCTCGTTCCCCCTGCGTTGCAAATTAATCAGGGTCAAAATGACGCGGTAATTCGGCACGAGGCATCGGGATTGGGACTGAGATAAAGATATTCCAACTCTTTGTCTCCATTATCTGTTAATTATCAGGTTTGTAGAAATCTGAGCACTATTAATCCACACTCACGTATCAATGTATTCAATAGTTATTGCTAATCTATATTTGCCATGCGGAATGCTATGGTTCATAATAATTAGTCTCATTCTGTGTCCTAAGGCAGGGACGCTGTAAAGGGGGGGCAGTTAGAATTCCAAGGGCCCCTGAGCGACGGGGGCCCTAGAAAATTGGAACATAACATAATTTGTCTGGGTTAGGAACCCAGTAAGATATGCTTTGATGGGGTCCAAAGGCTCTAAGGACACCCCCGTCCTACTGATATACTTTAAAAACAAGAAAGCACCATTGAGTTTCAAAACAAAATAAAATCATAGGAATAAATGAAAGGAAATGAATAAAATTTAAGGCATCACACCCTAAACATAGATACAAAAACAGTACAGTTTACAACAGTTTTTTACAATAATTATTGTAAAATAGACCAGCTTTAAAGAAATATTAATACATAGTGACATAAATACAGTTTTAAAATCTCAGCACAAACTGCTTCATTATACTGTAACACTTGTTGTCCAATTTTATATTCTGGCTACTCCAGACCCCCGTGACAGTGAATAGGAAAAGTGGTTACAGAAAATGGATGGATGGATGGATGGATTGATGGGTGGATGGATGGATGGATATACTGGCTAGGTGGATGTTCAGATACTAAACAAAAACAAAGCACGGTTAACAAACACCTTTACTAATCTCCATGGACACAATAAAACGTGTTTATGGAAAAGGAGGACACACATTTACTTTTGCTATTTGGACTTATCTATATCTACAGTATCTATAGCTGCTGCGTTTAATTTTTGTCACAATTTATCTATTAGATATACAAAAAGGCACATGGGCAATGTTTGGCTTCACAGGCTATAGGCCTCTGTGATTGTGATCAGACGGTTGCTAGTTCAAACCCACCCTTAACAGAATAGTCACATGTCTCTGGGCCCTTTAGTACGGTCCCCAACTCCCCAGGTTCACTGTGACCTCCAAGTTGTCTCTCACTTACATGTACGTGTCTCATATAGAGCAAGACGGGGTAGAGGATAGGAGAATTTCCCCAGAGGAATTAATAAAGTATCACTATTTTAGAGGTAAATTTTTTAGCTGGAATATATTAATTCAGGGATAAAAGAAGTATGAATGGACTTAAGCCATATATAGTTTAAAAATATTCCATATCACTCAGCAAGGTTGACTTTTTTGCTATATATCTGCAAAAGTTTGCCACTCGTTATTTATGGACACCAGTATGGAGAATCCCTGAACTTTCATAAGATTTGTCTCTCTTTTGTGGAGGTGTGCAACACCAGTGGCCTGTATGTCAGGCTAGGGAGGCTTAAGCCTTGAATATAGCAAAGCCCCACATCATTATTTTCTTTTTGCTATATGTATAACGAAGTGTCTCCCAACCCGGTCCTTGAGGACAGGTGGTCCATATTTTTGCTCCCTCCCAGCTTCCTGCCGGACAGTTCACATTTTTGCACCCTCCCAGCTCCCAGTAGAAAACAAAAAGCAAAAACATGGACTGTCTGTGCGTCACTGAGAACCGGATTGGGAAACACTGGTATAATGTCTTCAGACTCACGATGGACAAGTATCTAATGTATTTTAAACAGAATAGATGGACCCAAGTGCATTTTCTAAGTGTAAAAATACAGTAAATGCACCATGTGAAATAATTTGATGAAAGTAACATAAATCATTGAGGCCCCAAGCTCAGCAAATTTTATCAGGGCAAAGCCCCCCCTCCCCTGGTCTCCGAGCTAAACCACAGATGTTGTCAGATCACAGTGACATCCCAGTAGTACCGGTACGGATGCAGATCGGATGCTGTGCAGGACTCTCTGGGTGTGTTAAACCACGTGGAGAAGTTTATGACTCTGTTTGGTTAGGACTCTGTTTCTGTTCTGTCCAGAAAGAGATGCCAACAGAGTCATCATATCACTGTCAGGTGTTTTTAGCAAGATGTCTCAACATCCCAAAACCGCTCCAGCAGTGCCAGAAAATGACTGACCTTGTGCTGGGTCCCCGAGCTTCTCTCTCAGTCCGGGAAACGCGAAAACCGAAGAACTCCAACATACTTATGCTTTTATAAATCGCAAATAAACTATCATCCCTATCAGAGTTTGATAATTCAGGTCCAGAGAGTAAAAATCCAGACCAAAATTTTGTTCCAACCAACCAGTTGAGTACTTTGCGACTGTGACTTTTTATATTCAACTGGTTGGTTGGAACAAAATCTTGGTCTGGATTTTTACTCTCTGGACCTGAATTATCAAACTCTGATCACCGTTTAACTATACTAAGACTTTCTAAGATGGTTACATCGCAGCACACATCAGAACAATTGCAGGCCAACCCTGAAGCAGTTCTCAAAATGGACATGCAGACAAACGATGGTTTGCAGGTAGAATAAAACCAAGATAATCTACCCCAGTGTGATGAAGTATGCTTAGCCATGGCACTCCTCACACAAATATAGCATGCGTAAGCAGATTAATCCCATAGTCACCTACGTGAAATAATATAAAAAACTGGCAGCATTGCATCAAAAAGCCATTAATATGAGAAAAAATAAATTCATTTGTCAGGGTGTTTTCTCGCCCGCCTGCATAACTAGACTATTTTACCCCACAAAGGTGATTTTTTTTTTGTTAGTAATAACAGACAAAATGAATGATGTCTCAAATAAGAAATTACTTCTGTAGAATTATAACACAAAATTTTTGCTCTGAGGTGTGCTGACAGATAATGATCTTCAATAAATCTCGCATGGAAACAAGGGTAAGTCTGAAAAAGGCAGGACTCTCCCAAACTGAATGAGAATAATGTCTCCATTAGTATTTCAGGATTTCACATGACATTAACGGCACACTGGCTCTTTTCCTCAGTAGCTTCCCATGTGATGTTTAAAGCACTGTGGACCTTTTTAATTAAAATCAGTAACACATTCATCTGCAGTTCTAACCAAGAACTGCTCTTTGATTAGGAAAATATGAAAACAAACTTTACAGCAAATACGTTGCATTAAGAGGCAGCAGATTGCATTAGACTTGCGGGGGATTGGAGTCTATCCCAGAGGCTATAGGTACAAAGCAGAGAGCAACCCAGGATGGGGCTCCAACCCATCACAGAGCACACTCACACCTGTGCACCCAGGGACAATTTTTTTTAACTCCAGTTAACCTCAGCAGGTTTTGGACTTGGGGGGTGGGAAGAAAAGTACCTGGAGGAAACCCCACAATGACATGGGGAGAACATGCAAACTCCACACACATGGAGTCACCCCAGTCGAACCCCCGGCCCAAGTGGTGTGAGGCAACAGTGCCAACCACTGCACCACCATGCCACACTGCATTTGCACTTGTGCTTCATTAATGTCAGGCATGCGTCAGTGCAGAGGAGCTGCCACGTGAGAGGTGAGGGCAGAGAAGGTACCATCTGACCTGCTTCGGACCTCACATTTTACACACTTTACCACAGTAAAACTGTCCTTAACATTTATCATAGCTGCCTCAAACCCAACGATGTTAAAAGCTTAGATCAGGGGCTTGTATCGTGAAACAGGATTGTTTTGCTTAGCTGGATAACTTGTCGGATTTAAGGTAGTCTGTGCTAAATGCAAGTGAACGAAGATAAAGTACATAAGTCCTTTTAAACTAAGGTACCTTAAATCCAACAAATTATCCAACTAAGCAAGAAATCCTGCTTTGTGATGCAGGCCCCAGATCTGTGATATGTTCAGCTTTGGTTGTGTTTCACACAATAAGACACTTTTG